CCCACCCCCTCACCTCCTTTGCCCCCTCCTCTGGGCTCCTGACTCTTTCTGCAGCCTTTCTACTGCTACTCCTTGGCTCCTTGTTACTGCTGTCTTTCAGCCACACCCCTGATCTTCTGGTAGGAAAGATCTACACCTAGCCTTCTCGGACAGCGCATGTTAAAGATCCCTTGGTGGTCTAAAATCGATCAGAGTAGGCTTCGGCCGCCACCCGGGCAAAATTCAACATTTCTTTCCCACTGAAAATGTTCAATGTGTCCCGCGCGCTCATACGACCTTGTGCAGTTGCGAGCGCTGTAAAACATTTGCAAAAAAAAAAAAAAACCACTGGAAGGGTGGAAATACGGTCATACCAACAACCCGCCCACCCTCCAACCACTCCTGTCACCTGTCTTTTCTACCCGCCCGGGGTGAGCACACTTTTTTCCTCCTCTTCCTTCCTCCTCCCTCCTCCCCCACCCCTTTCCTCCCTTCCCCTCTTCCCCCTTCCACCCTCCTCCCTCTCTCTCCCTCCCTCCTCCTCCTCCCTTCCTCTCCCTCCCCCTCCCCCATCCCTCCCTCCCTCCATCTCCCCAGTCGTGTGTTCCAGCTTCCCCGCAGTGCCGCTCACGGGTCGATCAGCTGATGACGCCACCTCTCTGTGTCCCTCTCTGTCTCTCTCATCGCGTTGCGCGTGCGTAGAATAATGCTTGTACGTACGTGTGTCTTGTGCAGGTACTCACGCACGCACACACACACACACACTACATATTCACGCGCGCGCGAGCGTCAGCATAAAAAAGAAAGATCTCGGCGCGCACGGTATAATTATGTTCGCTGCACGTTTGTAGACAAATTGCCTTACTGTAAAACTGTGAAATATTGTCACATCCTTATCATTCTGTTGTTGTGAAAGTGTTGTTGTATTGTGTCACATTGTGTGTGAGCGAGGCTGGTGGGGTCGTAGGTCGAGAGAGCGGGGTTGGGTTTGTTTGTTTCTTTGTTTGTTTGTTTTTTATTTTGTCTTTTTAGGGGGGGAAATGTTCATTTATTTGTTTACTTTTGTTGTTTGGTTTGTGTTGTTGTTTAGAGATTGTTTTGCCAGTTGGAGAAATGCTTGCGTGTGTTTGTTTCTTTGTGTGTGTGTGTGTGTGTGTGTGTGTGTTTGAGTGTGTGTGTTTGAGTGTGTGTGTGTGTGTGTGTGTGTGT